ATGATTGATGGAACTATACCAACCTTATACAAGTTGCTTGATTGTTGTGTTTGCTTCCTTAAGAACTGATCGACTGTTTGTGTTTTGGTTCGGGAGATTTGTCAAACTGATGCTAGCAATGGGATATAAGCAAAGTCAAAGAGATCACACATTATTTATCAAACACTCTGAATCAGGGAGAGTTACGGTTCTATTAGTGTATGTTGATGATATAATTATAACAAAAAATGATGAAAAAGAGAGACTTTTTAAAACAGTGTTTGGCTAGAGAATTTGAGATAAAAAATGCTTGGGGATTAAAGTACTTTTCAGGAATTGAAGTAGCTCACTCACGGTATGATATTTTCATCTTACAACAAAAATATGTAATGGATCTTCTGAAAGAAATGGAGAAGCTTGCATGTAAACCTACAAATACCCCTATAAATCTTAATCATAAACTTGAAGAAGCTAATGAAGATGTTACTGTAAATAGAGAAATGTAACAAAGATTAGTTGAAAGACTTATTTACCTCTCACATACTAGACTTGATATAGCATATATTGTGAGTGTGATAAGTCAATTTATGCATAGTCCTAAATAAGCACACCTATAGGTTGTCTATCGTGTATTGCACTATTTGAAGGCCAATCTTGAGAGAGATATTTTATTCAAAAGAAATTCAAGGCTGGTTCTAGAGGCATATACAGATACTGATCATGTAAGTTCAATAATTGATAAAAAATCCACCTCAAGCTATTGCACTTTCTTATGTGGTAATCTTGTGACTTGAAGGAGTAAAAAACAAAATGTAGTGGCAAGATCAAGTGTGAAACAAAGTTTAGAGCAATAGCTCAAGGAATTTGTGAACTACTATGGTTAAATATTATATTAGAAGACTTAAAAAATAAGTGAGATGAATGAATGAGACTCTACTATGATAACAAGTCTACAATAGACATTGCACACAATCTGTGCAACATGACAAAACAAAACATATTGAAATAAACCGACATTTAATAAAGAAAAAACTAGACAGTGGGTTAATTTATATACTGTATGTATCAACAAATGATCAACTTACAGATGTGTTAACTAAAAGTCTTAGTAATGTAACATTTCAAGAAAATATTTTTAAGTTGGGAATGGAAAACACTTATTTACCAGCTTGAGGGAGACTGTGGAAAAATATTTATTTACAGCTAATTGTAATATTATAATATGTATATTTATATTTGTATCCTTAGAATTAAGTATTTATATCCCTAAAATTAATGACAAAAAATTATAATAGATAATCTCTTAATTATAGGATTAGTTTTTAGAAAGATTTAGTTTTTTAGTTTACTTAGTAGTTAGTTGTGTATAAACCTAAGGTACTTGTATAATTCTTTATGAGTAGTTTTTCAATATACATTTAGTTTTACTCTTAGTTTTTCACATAGTTTTGTTTCTTAGTTTTTCCACAATTATCAATTTTGATGAATTTAAATGCTTTAAATTGTATCTTGATATAGTAACTTCTCATTATTCTCATTAACTTAGCATGATTTTTCCCATGAGTTTATTAGTTTTTATTTGCTTTTAAATGAACTATATGTATTTTAAATACTTCCTATTGTTATTTTATATGTTTAAATGGGTTATAGTTTACATGTTCTAAGATAATAAGAAATTACTATTACACTATTAAAGGGTTTTGGAGCTTAATCTACAGAAAAGAAACAAAGGCTATTCAAATTAATTGAGAAACCTTAATTTTAATGGGGAATCTGGATTAAAACCATAGACATCAACTATTCAAAGTTTAGGAGACCCAGCTACATTTGATGGGTCTATTCTCAAGAGTTCATAGGGGATTTTGGAGCTAGGCTTTTAAATCTTCACACTATGGATGACACAGAGCTTTTGTATGAGGTATGGTTATAGCACACTGAACATAATTTTGCAAAAAAGTTCCACAATTGTTGATTGCTTGAAGTTTCGATTGATTTCATACAATTTATTATTTTTCTTTCATTTTTGTGGTGAAATGTTAAGATATTTTTTAATGTTGTTCCCTTTTGATATATTTTCTAATTCAGTTAAAAATTTTCTTCAATTTAAGTTTGGTAAGCATTTTTTCTTTTTCTTTTGGAAATAAATTTTGATTTGATTTATTTATAACATGTTATCTTAGAATCCTTTGAGCCATCACCATTAATACCTAGTGTTAATAAAGCATTTGAAATTGAATTTAATGTGACAACTAGCTAGTAGCAAGAAGAGCAAAGTGATGCTGATGCCTTCACTTCATTATTCTCTATTAATGAAAAAGAAGTCAGCACCAAAAAAAAATAATGTTGCAAAAAAAAAAATCCTCAGCAAGGCAAGGCTCAAAATCTAGTTTCTTTAATTTTTAATTTTAATTTTATTATATTTAGACATTTTATTTGAACATGACTATTTATTTATGTAAATATATTTAATTATGTATATATATATATATACTTGAATATGATACCAAAAAAGCAAAATTGATAGCGTATTATTTACAATTTTTTTTAATTTTATAATTATTTAATTACAAAACAATATAAATTCACTATATCTACATATACGTTTTGAGAGTTAGATTATCCGGATTCAATAGATTCGCTTATAATCAAATTGGGTATTAGATAAATTTTTTTAAGTCCAAGCTTAACTTAATGTGGAATATTATTTAATTAATAAAAGGTATTTTTTATTTAATTTAAAATTTAAAATATATATTTAATATATTGATATATACTTATAAAATTTTCAAGCCTCTTAAATTTGATGAGTCAAGTTTTGGACAAAATTTTTAAAAGATTAACTAGATATTTATTTCACTCAGCTACTAAATATATTTATTTATAAATATTTTGATATAATATTTTAATAGATTATACATAATTTATGATTACGTTAAATAATTGTAAATGGCATGTTTTCTTTTTAATATCATAATTCTTTGGTAGGCATTTTAGTTTTTCTACGGCAAACATGCGATGAGGGCATCTTAATCTTTATACAACTCTCAGAGATAAAGTCTTAAAGTACTCTTTTAGAAGCCAACCATGTAACCTTACAATAAAAAAAAAAAAAAGTTGAGACTAACCTTAGAAAAACAATTGAGACTTGATATATCAATTGAACATTCGGTGACAAGTTTTGCAATTCGAAAGCGATGAGACATGGCCTCTTCAAAATTTGGATGTTGAGCTATGATACATAATTGGTTAAAGCTGATAATAGTTTGTGTCGAATTAAATATGATTTAATTTGTTTGAATAATATATAATATTATAAAATTTTAAATTTTGATATAAATTTAAATTGATTTTTTTAAAATTTATCTAATTTAAATTAAATTTTATCGATTCGATTTGATTTTCATTAATTTTTAAATTTTATTTTATTTTATATATTATTTTAATATGATTTTTAATATATTTAAAAAATTATATATAAAATAATTATTTTTATTTTATAAAAATTTAAAATATATAAAATAATAAAAATATATAATTTTGATCGATTCAATTTTTTTTATTTTTTTTATCCCAATTTGAATTTAATATAAATATTTAATATCCAAACTTAATTCGAATAAAAATAAATCAATTTAAACTGAACTGAACATTATAATTTTAAATCAATTTTAAATTTTTTTATTTTTTTCTCACCCCTAAAAAGTTACTAGCCTAGCATTTCTTAGGAATCATTCAAACTCTTTTATTATTATAATTAATTATTTTTTAATAATTATTTACATCTAATTAAATATTTATTTAGCTAAAAATATTAACATCTTTATTTTTTTGCCAACTAAATAAAATTTCATGTGACATCGATAAAATTAATGTAAGTTTACCATGTAATATAATTAATATTTATGAAAATTAAATAAAAGAAAAAAATTTTTCTTTTTGTTTTCTTTTATTTTTGTCCCTTTCTCTCTTATATCCTTCTAAAGATTTAATTTATTATAATTTGGAGATTGATTGATTAAATTTTGTCATTTGATTAGATTTCATTCATTTAAAATTTTAATTGAGTCAAAACAAAAAAATTAAAAATTTAATTAATTATAATTAAATATTAAAGATTTAAATAATTATTAAATTATAATTTTAAAATATTTTTAATCTTTTAACCATATATAAATAAATGTGATTTGAAATTGTCTCAAGTTCAAACTTTAATTATAATTAAAAAGATTATAAAAGACCTAAACATATGTAAAAACTTTTGTGAGAATTATATTTTTTTTAATTTTGATTAAATTTTAATTATAAGATTATTTATTACTTTTAAGAATAACTATAATTTTATATGATCTTTATTCCATTAGAGTAAACCCACATATATAAACCAAATCAGTAAATGGATAAAACTAAATTCGTAATATGAATAATTCCTTTAAATAGTTTAGTTGGATAATTTTGATTTTTTTATTTTATAAAAATTTTTAAAAATTATATGTAAGGTACTTAAATTAAATTCACAATTTGGCTAACCTAAATTTTGATTAAACCTAAATCCAAAACATTATAAACATAAATATTAACACAAAAAAAATGATTTTTTTCTTCCTTCCTTACATATAAACTGATAAACTATTACAAAATTTAAAAAATATAAAATATAAAATTTAATTTAATTAATATAATTATTAATAAAAATTAATATTCAATAAATTTAAAATTCAAAAATCAAAACTTACAATCTCATTCCTTATTCTACCTCAAAAAAAAAAAAAACACTATAAAAATAAAATCATAGAATATTACAAATTATAACTCATCACTTTTTTTAAAAAACAATTTCAAAATTTTTTGTAACCTAGTGCAAATTAATCAAACGTAGATCAATTTAAAATTAAATATATATTTTTGTCAATAAATGAAAAAAAAGTATTTATATATAATTTTAAAATTTAAAGATCAATGGAATCGAATACTCTATTAATAAAATATTAAAACTGGACTTTACTCATTTTTAACCACAAGTCTTAACCACAAGAAGTCTTATGTTAATCGAGTCAAGAAGCAGGTCTGATACAGTTGAACCACTACCAACCAAATGGAAAGTCATCAGTTTGGGCCTCAACATCACCCTGTCACTGTCAATGATTTTTTTTTCCCCTGAAAACAAACAATTGACCTTGTTATTGTGACCTTTCCTTATTTCTAGTTCTTCTCTTTGTAGTCTTGATCAGTCTTGGGCCTTTTTGCTGCTTACTTGCTTCTGCCTTCATTTCTCCTCCTTCTATCTCCTAAGCATGGCTGTAAGGAACAAACAGGTGATATTGAAGAATTATGTGACTGGGGGTCTGCCCAAAGAATCAGACATGGAAGTAACAGAAATTAGCATTCAACTGAAGGTGCCAGAGGGTATTAAAGATGCAATTTTACTCAAGAATCTCTACTTGTCTTGTGATCCTTCAATGATAGACAGCATGCGGAAGTTTGAAACATCATATGTGCCTTCTTTCGAGCCTGGCTCGGTGAGTTAGACAATCAAAACTCCCATTTGCATTTTTTTTAATCAACTGCTCTATATTGAAGAATTTTGTCCTTTTTTTTCTTTTAGTCAGTAATCTTTGCATGCAGAATCGCAGATTTTGATGAGTTGTCTGGTAATTCTTGGTCAATTTGAAGTTTGATGACTATAAGACTAAACAGAGACTCACTAAATGCACATAAATTATGAACCATTACAGGAAAATTATGATTATTTTAGTTTTGTGAATTGGGTTGTTTCTGATTATGTTCTGAACAGTGAATAATATGTCATATACAGAAGATAGTTTATATGGATGAATTGTAGATTCAAATGGAGCATAAATTAGGACAGTGCCAAGAGACATATGTATCTAAAAACTCCAAATGCAGCAATTGAAACTAAGTTCAGGACAAATACAGTTTTCTGATTCTACTCATTTCTGGAATTATTTCTCAGTTAGTTGACCTTTAAATGTTGAAATTGAACAGCCTCTAAGTGGTTATGGAGTGGCCAAAGTTCTGGATTCTACTCATCCAGATTACAAAAAGGGCGATTTCATTTGGGGGATAACTGGTTGGGAAGAGTATAGTCTCATAAAAGCACCAAACCAATTTTTCAAAATTCAACACATGGATGTGCCTCTTACCTACTATATTGGACTTCTTGGTAAGTTTGTTTGGAATTTATCAAGATGAGAATGCTTTTCAATGCTTTGGAAACCATTTTTTTCCCTCTGTTTGTGATATCATATTGGCCAGTTTTTTCCACTATTTAAATGAATTTTGTTCAATGCATTTAAAAAATCAATTTATTTGAACTTGGATCTTAGCTCAATTGGTTCATAAAGTCACTTTTAAAAGATGTTATCCATGAGGTCTGGGTTCAAATTCCAGCACTTGCAACCCCTTTTCTTATCCCCAAGTTGCGACTTCCTTTGTTAAAAAAAAATCAATTTATTTGGCTAAAAGCCAAAATTGCTTTATTGGTTTTGCTATTGTACATTTTCCAGCATCATAGATGAAGGGTATCCATGGGATCAGTCTCAAAAATCTTGTTGATAACATCAAAAGAAACCTTTTTTGGTATGCTTATTATTGGAAAAAAAAAACTACTTTGATAATTCATAATAAAAATGAACATTTTTCTTCCAGTCTTGTATATGCACAAAATTAGTTAAGAATAGCTTCCAGTCTATGCTTAGCTTTGGCATCTTTGAGCCAGACAATTTTCATGATGTAATAGACTTGTAAACAACGTACCAGGTCATTATGTTAGGTTGTCGTGTTCCCCACTTCCCCCAATTTCCCCCTCCAGCTTTTATTTATTTTTTTAATCTTGGAGCTATCTAGATTTGCAGAATACTTTTGGATAGGATTTTGCTATAAGAATTTTGAACAGTATCGTGCTGGGATGACATTTGAGCATTAACTTTTTGCTTTGTAAAGTTTAATTTTGGAAAGCCTTCATGGCTCTATTGCATGCATCATAAGGGTTAAAGCTACTCTTAGCAAAGACTTCAAACCTATTGGAAAAGGAATACCACTTTCTAGGGCACTTATCAGATATGTAGCCGCTGCATTAGGCTTGGGGACTAAAAGTACTGAGTAGACATAAGCAAGTAATCACTCCTAAGTCAATGAACAATTATGACTCATATTCTAAGCAAATTGTACTAACCGTTTATTGTCACTAAAAAATGTTAGCTATAGTGTAGCCGTGCTGTGGGAGGGATAGCAACATTAAGAATCACTTTTTGTCCAAGAACATAAAAACCTGAGTGACTTCACAATATCGAGATCCAAGTCAGGTAGTTTCTTGCCACTTACAATCTTGGTTATGTCCTTCGTTTGGTAATTCAGATTTAGTTCAGTCTGAAATATTGTCTGCACTTGTGTACAAGTGCAAGCAAAGCATGTATGGTTGATATGGCATGTAAATTGCCACTCAATTTACATTCAGAAGCCTTGATAGTCGTTCTCTGTTTCCTGAGGTGGCCTTATGCTCGTCTAATTGTTCTTCAATTTGTCATCATAGGTATGCCTGGTATGACTGCTTATGCTGGTTTTTATGAGGTTTGCTCCCCTAAGAAAGGAGATTATGTATATGTATCAGCTGCATCTGGAGCAGTTGGTCAGCTTGTTGGGCAGTTTGCAAAACTGTTAGGCTGCTATGTTGTTGGAAGTGCTGGAAGCGAAGAGAAAGTGAGTTTTATGATGATTTGGCATCTTTATCACACTTTTCTATATCCATAGCTTCATTATCTGATTTGATCCAGCAAGGGAAATATTAGCTTCATTATCTGATTACTCTTGAAACTTTCCTCCATCCAATCATTTTATTCTTTGACCACCAAGGGAAATGTGACAAGCCTGCACAAGTAAAAATAAGCTGTTGAACGGAAAATTCAATGGCCACAAACTTTCTGCTGCTACATGTTAATTGTTAGAAGCTCAGTTCTTCATTAACCAGTTTCTTGTTTCCAGTTTTGCCATTTCTGCTTTTTTGCCCCTTTTTTTTATCTAATTATCTTTATTATTTCTGCAATAAAAGGTTGAGTTGCTGAAGAATAAGTTTGGGTTTGATGCTGCTTTCAACTATAAGGAAGAGCCAGACTTGAATGCTGTTTTGAAAAGGTCAGTAGCTATTATTCAATAATAGCAGTAGCTATTAATGACGGACTGCCCCGGTGGTCCAATCGGGTGGCCAGTGATCCGGCCAAAGGACCAGTCCAGTTCTTATGGTATACAAACCATAAAGCTTTAATCAAGATCTCTGACATAATCTTGAATAAAAGAGTTGATTTCAGGTCTGAAAGTTCATGATACACTTTCCCAAGATGCTATTTTGTCATATATTTCACAATGCTGTGTTTTTTCCAGGTACTTTCCTGAAGGCATTGATATTTACTTTGAAAACGTGGGGGGAAAGATGCTCGATGCAGTGCTACTCAACATGAGGATCCATGGTCGTATTGCTGCATGTGGAATGATCTCACAGTACAACCTAGACCATCCTGAAGGAGTGCACAACTTGATGCATGTTGTGTTAAAACGGGTTCGGATTGAAGGATTTGTGGTTACTGATTTCTATCACCTTTATCCCCAGTTTCTAGAAATGGTTATACCTCAAATCAAAGAAGGGAAGATTACATATGTTGAAGACACAGCTGAAGGCCTCGAGGCCGCTCCGGCGGCCCTCATTGGCCTCTTCACTGGTCGCAATGTTGGGAAACAGTTGATTGTTGTCTCCCATGATTGGTGAAACTATACCAAACCTTGTAGAAGTTGCTTGATTGTTGCGTTGGCTTCCTTAAGAACTGATCGACAGTTTGTGTTTTGGTTGAATAAAAAGGATTTAGAATACTAAATCCTATTATGTAATATAAAATCATATATATATATATATATATATATATATATATATAATGTTGGGAAACAGTTGGTTGTTGTCTCCCATGATTGGTGAAACTATACCAAACCTTGTAGAAGTTGCTTGATTGTTGTGTTGGCTTCCTTAAGAACTGATCGACAGTTTGTGTTTAGGTTGAATAAAAAGGATTTAGAATACTAAATCCTATTATGTAATATAAAATCATATATATATATATATATATATATACACTAATTTTTGGCACGAGCTTACGTGTAAAAATTCAATCCAATAAATAATTTTTTTATACTTTCATAATAATAATAATAAATGTTAACAGTTTAAGTTTGATTTTGATATATATATATATATATATATATAATTTGATAACTTTTGATATAATTTTGATTTTAATAACCTTTGATATATTTGATAACTTCTTGTAAAAGTTTCATACATTTTGATAAAATTTTAATAACTTTCAATATAATTTTGATCATTTTTAATATTAGTTTGGTAACTTATGATATAATTTTTTAATCATTGATACAATATTGATAATTTTTTATAAAATTTTGGTGATTTTTGGATGTAATTTTGTTAACCTTTCATATAATTTTAGTAATTTAAGATATGTTTTTGATAATTATTGATAAAATTCGTATCATCATGTATCCAACAATTGATTCCCGTGGTAAAATGCGGCTTCCATTCTAATATATAATATTTTCTTTTTGTATAATAATATTATTACTTTATTCAAATTTAAAAATGTTTTATCAAATTTTTTTATTAAATAGGTTAATTGTAGGTTTATTTTAACCTCTCAAGATAAAAATTTTAGTTTCGTCTTTGATAGTAATAAATATTCAATCCCTAACAACTTCAAATATAAAAAAAATTATCAATGAGCGATAATTAAATTACCATTGATTTAATATTATGTTATTAGTGATTTATTACTAATTAATGATTTATTACTAAATTATCTATTAAATTATTGATGATTTACTATTAAGTTACTGATAATTTATTTACTATTAATTTATCGATTATTTACTTTAAAGTTATCTGTGATTAACTGATTTACTACTAAATTATCACTTATTCACAACTAAGTTATTATTGATTTACTACTGTTATGTTATAAAAAATTTACAACTAAATTATCAATAATTTGCTAACATTTTATTATGCATTTACTATTATGTTATATTTTATTTGCTACTTAGTTTTTAATTATTTATTATAAAATTATTACATGTTTATATTAAATTATTCATAATTTACTATCAATTTATCACTTATTTATATTAAATTATACTTGATTTACTATTAAATTATCACTAATTAACTATTAAGTTATTAATAATTTCTACTAAGTTATATTGATTTATTTTAAGTTTTCAATGATTAATTACTAAATTATCACTGATTTACTATTTGGTTGTTTATGATTTACTACTAAGTTTATCAATTAATTACTATCAAACTGAAGCTAATTTACTATTAAGTTATTACTAATTTTTTATTAAGTTATCAATAATTAATTACTAAGTTATCACTTATTCTTTATTAAGCTATCCTTAATTTACTAATATGTTATTATGTATTTACAACTATAAAATATAGATTTTAAAATGTCCATTAAAAATATATGAGATAATTTTTTTTATATAATAATATTATTACTTCATTCAAATTTAAAATCTTTTTACTAAATTTTTTATTAAATAAATTTATGATAGATTTATCCTATTGCCTAAGATGAAAGTTCTAATTTCGTTTTAGCTAACAACCAGGGTTCAATTCCTAAAAACTTCATGTATAAAAAAAGGTTATCAATGATTGACAATTAATTTTTCATTGATTTACTATTATATTATCAGTAATTTACTACTAAGTTATTAATGATTTACTAATAAATTATCCATAATTTATTACTATTTTATTAATGATTTACCATTAAGTTATGAATCATTTATCATTAAGTTATAAATTATTTGCTATTAAATTGTTGATAATTTACTACTAAGTTATTTATTATTTATTATTTATTATAAAATTATAATTGATTTACTACTAATTTGTTGATGAGTTATTATAAAGTTGTCATTGTTTAACTTATTTACTACTAAATTATCATTAATTTATAACCAAATTATTAGTAATTTACTACTAAGTTATTTTTGATTTAATATTAAATTATCAATTTACTACTAAATTATAAAAAATTTACTATTAAATTACCAATGATTAATTATTGTATTTTTGTGTATTTATTACTATGTTATTATTGATTTATTACTTAATTTTTTATTATTTACAACAAAATTATTATCGATTTACTGCTAAATTTTTTATAATTTGCTATTAAGTATCATTGATCAATTGTTCTCTATTTATTTACTTTTAAATTTTCAATAATTAACAACTAAACTATCAATTACTTACTATTAAATTATCATTGATTTATCAGTAAGTTATTTATGATTTACTACTATCAATTAATTACTATTAAGCCAAAACTAATTTATTATTAAATTATTACTAATTTATTATTAAGTTGTTATTAATTTATTACTAAGTTATCAATGACTAACTGCAAAGTTATTACCTATTTTTAATAAGTTATTCTTAATTTACTATTATATTATTATGTATTTACAACTATATTATAATTGATTTACTACTAAATTATTATACAATTACTATATATTATTATTGATTTACAATTAAGTTATCAATGATTGACTACTAAATTATTATTTATTTATTATTAAATTATCACTAACTTACCACTAAGTTATCTATAATTTACTATTAAATTATTACTGATTAATTGTTAAGTTATTGAAAATTACTATTGTTATACTAATTATTTTTAAGTTTTTAATAATTAATTAACAAATTATTAATTATCTGATATTATATTATCATATATTTGCTTATATCTAAAAAAAAGTTGTAGACACCCAATTTGGTCCAAGTTCAGATCAATTAGGCCTAATCCAAATGGGTAAACCCATTTTGTATTTTATTTTATTTTATTATTATTTATTAATATATATTTTTTACTATTTATCTATTAATTATTAATATGTATTTTTTTTATTTTATCTTGATTGATTTTCGGTTAGGATTAGGATCAGAAAAAATTAGATTTGACCGTAAAATTGGAGGCTGACAGAATTGAGATTGGATTTAAAAATTGAATCCAAATCTCAAAAGAAGTTGAGATTGATCAGAAACTCTTCTAATCAATCCCTATAAATAGGTTTACAGAGAGCACACAAAAAGATCAGAAAATACATAGAGAGTAAATAGAAGCTAAAAAAAATTCTGGTGCGTTAGAAACAACGTTAGGAATTTGTGAGAAATTTTTTAGAATTTTTGAAGTTTTTTTTTAAAAAAATTTTCAAAAATTTTTCAGAATCTGATGAAATTTTCCAGCAAGATTAAAGTTTTTCAACGAGATTTTCAGTCAACTTTGAAGTTTTTAACCTGTTTTTTCAAATTTCAGCAAACATTCAACCGAAATCTGAATTCTATTTAGAGAGAAGAAAGAGAAAAAGAAAAAGAGAAAGAGGGAAAGAAGCAATCTGTGAAAAAATAGAGGTTTGAGCCTTTTATACCAGTCGAAAACTACGTCGTTTTAGCCTTACTATTCTTAGAAGATCCGCACATTTTGAAATTTGGTGACCCGACCTGAGCGCCAACTTGATTAGTGACCCACGTCTCTGCCTGGACCCCAACGAAACCGAGCCGCATGTTTAAACCACTTCTATCTCTCAAGCCGAATCGCATTAAGCCGAGCAGAGCCGTTCCAAAGGTTTTACCTTATTTATTATTATTATTATTATTATTATTGTTATTATTTATTTACTATATTAGAATAATTTGGTATTCCTTATTTTATTTTTATTTTATTTTTTAATGATTTTCTTAAAATAAAATTCTAAAAAATATATTTTTGAGGAAAAGTTAAAAGTATCAATTTTCCTTGAAAATAAAATTTTTAAAAAATATTTTTGAGGAACAGTTGAAAATATCAATTTTTCTCGAAATTAAAGTTTCAGAAAAACATTTTGAGAAAAAGTTAGAAGTACCAATTTTTCTTAAAAAAAAAAAATGTTTTAAGGAAAAGTTGAAAGTATCAATTTTTCTTGTACAAAAGCAATGAGTTTTTGAAGAGAAAAAGATTTATAGCTAAAGTTGAATCATTATTCTTTTTTTTTCATTTTATTTTTTTCCTTTTTGAATTTTTTTTAATGTTAAATAATCCGACGATAGAGCCTCTGCAAGTGAAACAGTAGTTTCCTTGCATACTCTTGAGATGAGAAAATTGTCTCAATTTTATGCTAAAAGTATTAGAGTTAATTGAGAATAATTTTTAATAATTAATTACTTGATAAATTTTTAAGGCTTATTGGATAACACAAAATTAAACTGGTACTATCTTTCAATGGGCGTTGTGAGGGTGCTATAACATTCCTCACATGTAACCATACTCTCGAATCCTATTCTGGTTAGTAGATCTGAACCTATTCTTTTAGGGACTCTTAGGCTTAGGTGTTCCTTAACAGGATAGATTCTTTAGATGGCCAATCGCACTTAAATAAAAAAAATATTTATGGCAACTCCTAAAGACAATGTCTAGCGATGGATCTCCGGATTTAGACGTTATGACAAAGTTATCTACAGTGTATGTTGCATAATATAATTTATATTGCGAAGAAAGAAAGCAAGACAAAGTTGTTATTCGTAATTTAACACGCAATTATAAGTTAAAATCATAACTTATTATGCTAAAGCAAGTATCAAACTAAATTAAATAAATATATATAATCAATATTAAATCAATATTTTAAAAATATTCTTCAAACTTTTAGTTCATGGTAAAATTGTAAATATTAAGATAAGCTTTATTGATTATTTGATTGAATGATTAGTGTATGCATTTTCATATCTATTTGCGAAGTAAAATTACATATAAAAGATTAAAAATTTTGAAGTGTTCTATCAACAATGAAATCAATAAA